CAATGCTTGCCAACCCATAACTCTTCCATGTGTGATAGCAAGTGCAAACAACAGATGCAACGGATATCTTGTGGATATGAATAAGAAGATATCGTGGTGAGCATAATTCATCTATAGTCATATTAACTCACAAGCAATGATGATGGACGCGCGATGAATGTGAAAGGCTAATTGCTAATAATAATGAAAGGATGAGTGCAGTGAACATAATTCATCGGTAGTTAACATCAATTCACGAGTTGTCGTATTGGTTCACCCGCAAGTGACGATTGTGGATACCCAACGGATATAGCAGAAATAAGAAGTCTTACAATGAATGTTGCGTAACACTTACAAATAACGATGGAGGATGCAATCTATATGTAAGAGACAAGAATAGAGGTGTTGGAAGCATGATAGGCCCCCGTGAATATAGATGCACATATAATGCATCATCTGCTAGTAGATATGAAATAGCAACATACATCAACACCTGCGAACTATGATAGTTCACATACAATGAATGTGATGATTCGTTAGATGATATGCATGAAGGAGCAAATGATGAGTGTAACTCAATTAGTAGTCAATGGCAAATCGCAGACGAGCACATTGACTTGTATGTAAGTGATGACAGGGGATATGATGAATCTCCTGTGCATATGGATGTCATGTGAGGTGTCATTTACAAGTAAAGATGAAAAATCTACAATGTGTATAGATGTGGATTCATCATCTCAGTTAATGATGAGTGATTATCAAGCAAATACGCTAATCCATTGCAAACAGAGATGAAAGGTGTGCAGTAGATGTAAGTCCCTACAAGCTAATGTAGAAGACGCGTTATATATACAATGTGTTGACCACTAGCAAAATGCAACGTAATTACACTAAATGCAAATGCTTACGAGCTGTTGTAGGAAATTTCTTATTCATGCAGTAGTCTACCTACGATTGACAGTTGACAACATGCAACCAGCATAACATAACTCATTGAAAACATATGCAACGCACTATACGATAAACACTAACGTCTACTGACGATGATGGGGGATGTATCGTGTGCACAATGATACACCTATATGGGATGATTAGCAACAAGCAACAAATGATATGACGCCTTTATGGTTAGCAAATATCCATTGGCAAGTAAATATATTGTCCTCTCATAAGTGAATATGTACGACATGCAGCAAATACAAATACCCACGAGCCCTTGTAGAAGACCCGTTGTATACACTAAGTGATACATACGAGTAAATACAAAAGAACTACAACAGATATCAGCATATGCAAGCAATAGTAGGAGGCTAATTAGTGCACGACAGCCTACCTGCCCAAAACAACAAACAACTCAATCCATGACGCCACGCCACTAGATCTGCAACATACATACAACATGACAGAAGGCGTATACAAGCTCCCAAATCAAACACCACATTTAAATGACACGTGCCCGCATAGACGGGCAACATTAAGTATCTTAAAATGTCCCCACACCTATATTACAACATGTATACAAACAAACACAAAAGTGCACATACAAACACATTAACATGTATACACACAATAATATACACCCGCATGAGCCCCGGTGAGCGTGTTATGAGTACACGCGTAACATCTGAGGATATTGCATAGGTCAAAATAATAAATTTAAGTTCGAGCCTAATCCTTCTATGCAAGTAAATAGGAGTCGACACAGTTCAAACTATCAAACAAATATACGGAAATGATGTTGACCGAGATATTTATTTTGGTACGTCATATTAGGCCTTCAAAGCCTATAACTAAGAAAATTCATTGACAAAGACCTAAAGCCAGCAACGAACACAATCCTGTGCCAGTGATTAGACAGAGTTGATAAGGTTCAATAGATAATACCAAAAATGCCCCTTAAATACATGCATGGCCCCCCCGATGAGCGTGTTATGGGTACACATGTAATATCTGAGGATATTATATGGGTTAAATGATAAATCCAAGTTCGAGCCCGATCATTTTATGCGAGTAGATAGGAATCAACGCGGCTTGAACTATCAAACAAATATACGATCACGATGTCAGCCATAATATTTTTTTTAATAAGTTCATATTAGGCATTCAAGGCCTATAATCATGAAAATTCACTAACAAAAGCATAAACACCACGAAAAAATCATATCTTTTATCGGCAAGTATACAGAGTTGGTAAGGTTAAATCCACAAATGCAAATGTCCGTAAATACCTTGATGATGATCATGTTGATGAGGGTCCCAAACATTATAAATGCCACCCAACTGCCCAAAATTCAAAACTTCAAAAATATCAAAAATGAAATATTTAAAATCAAAATTCAACCATCAAATGCTTAAAGCAAAATTCATCCACCATCAGCAACAGTTTGTTGAGATTAACAAATTTAAATATCACATCAGCTCATAAAGAGCTTGTGTCTAGTTGAGAATATCACTAGGATTCATTATCAAACAATCTCTTACCAGTAAGGATGTGGCACGTGTCTTCTAACCGGTTGTTTTGCTGCTAATTGGGACCACAGGTAAACGGTTATGACTAGGGTCCTCTGAACCGAGTGGTTTGCCGCCAAATAACATTACTAAATTAAGGTCATAGCCAGAGACCGTATACTCTCCAATGGCACTAAATCATTGAGATATGAATCAATAGGAAATAATCGATCGAGCATAAATCCCATGTTAGCTAAGGTGGATTCAAATTTGTCCCCTTAAACAAACATCAACCCCAAGTCTACAAGATATCCTTGGACGACACAACCCATGGCTACCGACAAGGATCCTTCTATTAGGTTGGGTCAATTACCTCCTCAGACTAATTAGATCTAGGACCATAATGGCCCGGGATGACGGAACCATGGGATATTGATCGGGTCTATTATCCATTTCCTCACCATCCGCTTTAAGTACAAGATGGTGAAATTTAGAATTTTAAATATCCTAAACTCATATTGCTACTATATATTGGATATCACGTATCTACGGATACGACATATTCATTTGACGACTAGCCTTAATCAAAAGTTCTCTCTCGTTATCGGGAGAGGTAATTAGCTATAGGGGTGCAAGCCTATAGGAAAGCAGAACTCAAATATAAAATCCTCACAAAATGAGGGCGGAATCTTTAAGTAGTGTCTTATCTACAAACACAACTACCTTCTAAAAATTTACCCCTGAACCTAATCGTTAAAACTGACCCGAAAAAAGAAGGGAGGCCGGGACACAAATTTTCAGAGCCCATAATTTATTAAGTCAACAGACCATCTAAACTATGCTGAGCAACAACCCCATTCTTTTGAAGGAACTTTACGAATGGATCAAGTATTTGATAATCTTTAGTATATGTTTTATAATATTCACCACATCTATCACATCTCAATATATTAATTTATTTTTCATTTTGTTTCTCTACTTCTGCCTTAAAATACTAAATTGCTTATGTATAATCTTAAGTAGCTCTTTACTATTATCATGCTGATAAACCAATAGTAGAGATATTTATTTTTATGAACATTAATATGAGGTGATTAAATCGCTCATGTGAGAACCGAATCGGGCCTAGCCGGTTCAACCAAACTGGCCAGTTATTAATAAACCTCCCACAAACAGGAGCGGATGCGAACAAGGGGCGGAAGGCTGAGCGGACCAAATGCTTGCGAAGGAAGGATTTGAAAGGTTCGTTTTGCTAATTTTAGCGAATGATTGCTTTTGAGGATAAGATCTATCAACTGCTCTTAACTCCTTTCTCATTTTTATCTCTAAAGAAGTAAAGATTATGAAGAAATAAGAAGGACGACCGAAGGAGAGGGAAGGAGGTTTTTCATTTTTTTTTTAAATAAATTCTCTTGTTTTACTTCATTTAAAACAAGTGGTAATTTAATAAGGGAATATTAGAGCTAGAAAGCAAGGAGAAAGAAATTTGGAAGAGAAATAAGGATTTTGGGAGTTTTAGAAAGTTCTCATTTGTAAGTGAATTTCTTATTGTATAATTTTATTTAAATTATACTATTGAATCACATTTTTTATTAAAGTTATATTGTATGAATTTAGGATTTTAGAATAGGAGAGATCTAGTTGTAAGAGTTGATCAACCAAAGATTCAACAAGAAAAGAGAAATTGAGATTCGAGGTAAGCATTATTAAAAGGAATGTTTATGAAAATTTATGAAAAATTAAATGATAAATTTTTATGATTATGAATTGCTTTAGGTTGTATCAAGCATCGAAGACTTGAAAGATTCAAAGTGGATATTTTCAAAACTTTCTTTATTGTATTCTTTTCTATTTAAAAGGAGTATATTACATAATCATTTTAAAACTTATGAATTATTTTATAATTATTACTTATTAAATATGCAATGTATATACAAGTATACATGTATGTGAAAGTAATTGTTTGTAAAGAAAATGCATATAAGATAAGAAAAATATGAAATAAAATTATAAAGCATCTATACATATGTGTATTAAAAGTAGATATATGAATGAATGATATACAAGTGAATGAAAGATAAATACAAAGAAAATGAAAAAGAAAGTGAAAAGGTCAGTGGAGTATATATATATATATAATTTTAATAGTTACCCACTGAGTTTATTCTGTAAACTCATTGCATTAATTAAATATTTTCAGATAATTCTCCAAAGATTTAGAAATGACAATAAAGAAAAGAATTTATTTATAGAAGAAGACGCAATACTAGTAATAGGTAATTTATGATTTAAAACAAATGTTTAGTATTTAATGAAATTTTAAATAGTAATTCTTTTGTAAATATGAGAAAGTCATATATGGTATTATTATGAATTATACTGATTTGATTCTACCATCCAACTTCAGTTCCCGCCTCGTTAAATAGAGTATCCGGGCCGGGTCGTGACAGCTCATACCATTCTAAAACAAAATATGATAACTTATAAACACTGCATTATAACTTATTTAAAAAACAATTAGTTATAAAACTAATATTTGGCAAAAATGAAAATTGCAAGTTTAGTGCTCTTACATGATTGTAGACTTGCATGATAAGATCATCATATGTTCCTGCATTCTGACCGCTAGCACTCTCAAAAGCAAAATACTCTAATGGAAGAGCATACGGCAAGTTCCGCACTGCAGCTTCAAACACCTCAATGCTAAAGCCACTTACTTCCGTATTATTACTGCTCGCATTTTTTTCCACTTTGACAAATTCTGGAAAGGAACTTTTTGGGACTAAAATCTTGAGTTTCTTCCGACTTACAGGAATGTCCCATCCTTTTGGTACTGAACCCGACTCTCCAGGCCAAACAACTTGATTCAAATCAGTCATCAAGGTCGAGTATGTCTTGCCATTTTTTGGCTTCGACTGTTCAGATAACCCAGTCTTAGGATCCCAGAATCCAAGGTTTCTTTCTCTTGTCCCTACCATATTAACGATTTGAAATGTGGAAGATTGTAGCTGACCATTTATGAGTTTAAATTTTCCAGTAACACCTTCAAATCTGCACTTCAATATCTCCTCGACTAATTTCGGCCCATTCTTTGAAACTTCCAAAGACTCCAAAATCGGTAATTTTGTATCCCTATATGGTGTAATAAAGTCGGACTTACCCACACTAGCTTTCTCTGCTGCTATTGCAAGAGCCCATACAGTATCATAAGCCAAGAGCGCAAAGTTGTTCATTTCAGCAGGTGTGTCATCTGGGTGATCTTGCTGAAATCTCTTCTTCCAACGAGCTGCGAAACTCTCATTCTTCTTTGATTTGGGGACATAAGTCTTCACACCAATTGCTCCCTGCAAGGAGTCTATGATGGAAGAGCTGAGAGATTCAGCAAGGTTCGTCAATCCATCAGTCATAATCCAAACAAAACCTTCATCCATCATTCCAGCTTCTTTGGCCAGCAGAAGAAGTCGAGAGGCCACTGAAACCCTCATGTGGATAATGAACACCCTCGTCTGCATTGTCTGTAGTTTGAAGAGCTCCTCCATTATCTGATCTTTGGTAGCTTGCAGTGATATTAAACAGTGGTAAGGGATGTGAGTGCCCGTCTGTTGGAGTGCGTCGAACAAGTAAGGCAAGATGTCTCTGCCATAGTCGGTGTCATCTGAGATAGGAATGGCCTGTCGCCAACCAAAAGCTTTTATGATGGCAGCGATGGCGGCAACCTGAGCTGAATCATTGAGTGTGGTGCGGATGAAGTAAGGGTTGCTGATGGAGGTGAAAGAGGGGCTTGTGGCTGAGAATGAAATGATAGGGACCTGTGTTTTCTTTACGAGTTCTGACATGAACTTTGCCTGTTCTGATTTCTGAGGGCCTATGATGGCCTGAACTTGAGAAGTCCCAAGTAGACCTGTTGCTGTTTTCAGAGAAAGATTGCATGCTATCAAACTGGTAAGTAGCAACTGGGAATTGTTTGGGTTTAGGCGAATTTGGTAAATTACTATTCATTCTATTCCCTTGAAAGCTGAAATAGTACACTGTACAAGTTTTCTTTTTTGGATATAGGAATCTATCCTCTATATTTATTTTGTTTAAAATGAGATAGGGAACGTTAATGCTTTAAAATTTGGATCCGACCGGTTGGTTCAATTCTGAATCAGTTCGCCGGCCGGTGCAAAATATTATCAAAATAGCTTTAGATATGAACCGGCTTAAACTGTCTTGAACTGACGGTTCAACCGGTTAACCAAATAATTGATACCGATTTTCAAAATTTGGTTAAAGTGATATTTAATAAAATAAAATAACTTAATAAAATTATTACTAAATTTTTTAATTAATAATCTTTAAAAAAAATTATATATTTTAGTTAAACAAATATCAACAATGCTTTATCACATGGCAAAACATACCATATGTTTATATAGATAAAAATAATGCTAACATATAATGTCTTATGTGAAGTGGTATTAAAAAATCAAAGTGAAGTTCTCAAATTTACTATACATACACTACGTATATCTATACATATTCTTTAATTAAAATTTAATAATGCAAATAATATTTAAATTTATCTATTAATTTTCATTTTGATGTAATTATATACTATAAAATTTTCATTTTTTTATCTTTATCAATTTTAAAAAAATAAATAATATAATATACGTCTATATTCATGAAACTAAAGTACACAACTATATATCTTTATGTTCATGAAGCAGGAGTTCAACAATATATTGTTGTCTACTCATTTGAACATAAGCACACAGTCATGTATTTTCTTCGCTTCATAAACATAGAGCTACTACACAATCAACATCTAATCATTACTCCTTATACTCTCCTCAATGCAAGCCTGACTTCTCTTTCCTATTTATAATATCGGTACAACAACAATAACAACACAGACATCAAGCCTTTATTCCACTACGTATTTGGAGTCGGCTATATAATTTTTTTTTCTTTATTGTGTCATGTTAAAATTCAGATTAATGTCATTAATACAACAACATCAAGCCTTTGTCGCACTACGTGATGTCGGCTATATAAATCTTTTTTCTCCATCGTGTTATGTTGAGAGTCAACTTCTCATTTAATAATAAAAAATATAATTTCTAATATTTTCTAACCAAGTATTTTTAGGTCTAGCTACCTCTATCTTTCTTAACATAAGTCAAATCTTATACATCTATTTTCCTAATCAGGTCATCGGAAGGCCATCATTTTATGTGATCAAATCATCTAAGGCCACTCTCTCTAATCTTATCTAAGGATTCATGTCATGATTATTTGACAAATTTTACGCTGGTTGTCGACTACCTAATACAACCATCCATTTTTCTCATCTAGAATTTGGGACCTAACGGCAAGAGTATTAAGACGGCGGCTTATTGAATTTTCTTGAGTAATATATGAGGTTCGCTTACTCAAGAAGCAAAGTGTATTCGAAAATTATGAATCAGTATCAGATTTTATTACGATACATAAAGAGATGATACTGAAAATATTTTAACTTCAGCTAGCACATGATCAGAAGGAAAGAAAACTAGAAAGAAGTTGATGAATTACCAGCTGCTACAGCTTTAACAAAATCCTCTTGACAGTCCTTAGTGTGAAGAACAAGCTTTGTAGTATAGTTATCATGAATATCATAGAAATCATCCATTGCCATTGATATGCTGGTATTGCTTATCTTCCCCAGTGGTGTGCTGAGATCAAGAACTACACCAACATGAACAGGAGAAAACCTATGTAATTTCATGGTCTCATTTTGAGCTGCAGCTGTACGAAGGAAGAGGATAATTAAAAGATTCAGTATAGCCATTCGAAAGGAGATCTATTTTCTTTCTTTCTTTCTTCTTGATGACAGCAACCAATAGGTGATCTTCAATTTATAAAAGGATTTGAGGACTATGTTTAACTTCTTGGAAAGTTAGATTGAAATGTACTGAAAGTGTTTTTTTTTTTTTTTTTTTTTTTTTTTTTAATGCTAGGTTTACTTGTCTAAGAGGGTGCCCAGTCAGATTGGTTTGATTTCACAGTATTTTGGTTTTTAAATCCAAGCTGAGCATGGCAGCATATTTATAACTCTTTCAAGCATGCAACTTGCAAGGACGATGTAAGGCCTTCGATCTCCAGCCGTTCTTCAAACCCTCGTATAGCGTCTCTAAAACATCCCAATGGAACCATAAATTTTTCACGAATTGGTTGCGGGTGAACAGTGCAATGCCAATATTTACGTCGCAGTGTTCATCCGTCATATAATTTTCCTTATTTAAAAAATGATTAGTAATTTTAAATATTTAAGTGTAGAATTTTATCATAAATAATTAACAAATGATAATTTAGAAACACATTATTTTTTAGAAATTAAAATATTTTTTATGTAATTAATTTTTAAGATAAACATTAACATAGAAATTACAATAAAATTATCATACATATTTAAAAAATATCGATTACTACAATACTTCAACATATTAATATCCCAATTTTTTTATTTAGAAAAAAAAATATATTTTTTAAATTATAATAGGTTTAAAATTGATAAATATAAATATATGATTAAAAAATATAAAATAATATATGAAAAAGAATTTACTATGAATAATCCTTTTTTAATATTAGAAAATGAAGTTCGGTTGGAGGCAAGTTACTGCATTTTGGAGTGGAAAATGAGTTTTTCGCCAACCGAAACCCAAACGAATGTTTGCAGTGGCTGCGGAGCTCCAATCGAACGCCAGATTCAGAGCCATTTCCCGGGAGGTGAACAGTGGGACGCAAATATTGGCGTCGCACTGTTCACCTACGCCATTTTTTTCTTCATTTCTTCCGATTGGAGTTTGACGTTAACAATGAAGTTCGATTGGAGATGAATTACTGTATTTTATAGTATTACTATATTTTAAAGTGTAAAATAAGATTTTCGGTTGGAGATGATCTAAAGGAGGATGCATTTAAAGAAATAAATTAATGTACAAGTAAAATATATTTGTTATTGCATTTAAAAAAACTTATAGCCCTATTATAGTTGTTTATACTATTATTATGTAATAATAGTACAAGCTACTATCGTGCGCGGGTTATTATTATTTAACCAGCAAATATAATCATCAAGCATGACTTTTTTTTAGGCTTCGTTTCCTTGCTTAAGAATTAACTCACTCAAAGAAGTTTTATTTTCAATATGTACTTCTGATTTTTAAATTCAATTTTAACTCATATAAATCAGCTTTGAAAGTTCATCCTGAAAATGACAGAGGGTTTTTATAACTCTTTGCTGGAAAGAAACTTCCAACTTCCAAGGATGGTGTAAAGGAAGGTGCTTTTTGAGGAAGATGTGTTTATTAATATATATTATTGTTGCCGAGGAAAATTTTCCTAGGCTGGCTACAATCCTAGGAAGTCATACTTGATGGTTATGTTTGCTGATTAAATTACAACGTATTTAAGATAGTAGTTGGCACTATTATTAAGTAGTGCAAACTACTCACTTGGTTGGGGTATAAATTAATTAGCAAGCATAACTTTCAATAATGACTTTTAGGCACTCAGGTCCGCTAGCCTTTTGTTTCCACTGCCACGGGTCTCGCACGGCCTTGCCCACTAGCATGTGGTACGACCCAACCCTCCGCCTTCATCTCTCACATTGTTAGTTGTCACGTGCCTAGCCGCCCACGCTATCAAGTGCCCAACTCGCCTATGGCCTAACGGCCCTAACCCGCTAGCACGCGGTACTCGGTACGCCCACTCTACTCATGAGGTCACTGCCTCGGCCTGGCCACCTTGCATAACTTGCTAACTTGCTAGTGGTCACGTGGCTCGAGTGCATATTTTCATGCGGCTCGAGTGCAGAGTTTCATCTGTCACGACTCACTAGGGACAAGCATAATTCGAAAAAAATGGGTTGGCGGGTCGTGTCCGATCAAGCCGTTAACCCATGCAGGTTAGTTACGGGTTGGCAATACTATCCGTTTGCAAAACCGGGCAAGGTTAGGGTCAACCCTTTTAAACCCGGGCCAATCCGAGTTCGACCCGAACCCGACTCACATACCCATTTTGACGCCCCTAAATTTGACTTTACAATATTTAACTTTGATTTTTAAATTCAAAATTAAGTCATATAAATCTTATTTTAAAGTATATCCTGAACATGATAGGGTATTTAATATTTATAACTCATTCTTCCAAGAAACTTGTAAGGAACATGCAAAGGATGGTGCATTTTAGAGAAATAAGTTTATTTACTAGTACAATTTATTTATATTTAAATGGGAGGAGTAGTTAGGGTTAGGATGAATGTAGTAAATGAGGATTTTTTTTCTTCAAGCTAATGTATTTACAGTTTTACATCAAATGAAAGGCAATAGCTATGCCATCTTTTCTTATATATATATAACTCTCTCTAGCATGCATTGCTCACCTTATTTTGGCCATCGAGCTTCCACTAAAAATTGATGGACCATCTCCATGCTTGAGCATTCCATAATGGGCGTTATCTAGCCTCATCAGCAAAATGTTGATGAAGTACAAGTAACTTAAATTTTGCTTGATGTACTTGAGTTAATTATTTGATAGTGGATTTAATAATTAGATAAGTACTAGCTTGATTTTATACAATTATACCACACACTAATTATGTTAAGTGGTGTGTTTTTTTTTTTTGGAACGGGGGTATCTACCTGCTGCCAACCCCCGAAGGAGATGCTTGGCGGCGTAACTAATCCCTATCTAGAAGAGACACCTACCCCAATAACCTCCTGGCCCACACTTATTTGGACCCCACTTAAGAGGCATTGCCGCTCGAGGGGATTCGAATACGAGTTGGGGGTTCTCAATTGTACTCACCCACCAATCAAGCTAAGCATCGGTAGGTGTTAAGTGGTGTATTAATCCCACAAATTTAGTTCTGAATGCTAAATTCATTTAGCTTTAGCTTGTATAATTGTATGAAATTTGAATTGTTGAATTTTGAAAGAAGTTTAAAGAGCAAAACACCCTAATTATTATATAGTGGATTTAATAATTACATAACCACAAACTCAATTTTATACCATACACTAGTTATGTTCAGTGGTATATTACTCCCACCAACTTAGTTCTTGATGTTATATTCATTTAGCAATAGTTTGCATAATTTTATGGAATTAGAATTGTTAAATTTTGAAAGAAATTCAAAGTTCAAAGAAGCCAATTCCAATCCTCCCCCAACTCACTTTAAATGGTGTGCCTTCATTTTATAGCAGTTTGTCCAAAACTTTTTTTATCATGTAATAACCTCAATTTTATTTTGCATAATTTTGAAAATTTTGGTTAGGTGAGCATTGACGTGCCAGGCTGGGTGGCATCGTGGCATTGAGCTAACAATTTTTTTGGAATTTGAGGTAGCCCTGCAGCATTGGGTCTGGAGCACAGTGGTGCGAAGTCTGAAAATGTATTTTTTAAAATAAAAATATATAAAACCATTTATAGTAAACTCTCACCTCCCATATCCCATTCTCTATTTCATTTTTTGTTGGGTGAGAGAAGAGAGAGAAAGGGAAAGAAAAGAAGAGAGAGAAGAAAGAATGAGGAGAGAAAATAGGGTTCAGGATGATATTTTCCATCACTCTAGTTGGAGAAAATATTATGATCGTGGTAGGTAATCCTAACCTTACTTTTGTTTTCAGTTATTTTGTATTTTTTCAGTTTTCTTCCCACCCCCCTAAAATCGATAAAAATACAATATCTTCCATTTTAGTGATTTTCTAATGTGTCATTGCTAATATATAATATATATCATTCCCTTGAAATATTTTAACTAGTGTATATTGAAATTTCATCGGTTAGTTTTGCACATATATCATTTTATTTGAAATAAGTAATATTTTATTGAGCATAAAATGATCATGAGTTACTATAATATATCTTGACATGAAATATGTGCTATGTATAAATTTATTATTTATTTAGTCAAATATATATATTTTTGACATACTACAACCATCATGGTGAGTATAACAATAGTTACATTTGGTGTATGGTGTTTATTATTATGCTCTATATAATGTGAAATGTGTGTAAAAGTAAGAAAGACTAGCTAAAAATGATTGATTGATTTAAGTTGGTTGGAGACATTATCCTATACAAGAGGGTGAGTCGACGAGCTTTCCTTTAAATAAGTCTCATGGTATAATCCTCAGTGATATAAAAATAGAGGTATAAGGAGATTGATTGGTATGATATGATACATCGATGGGCAGAAAGTAATTACTTCTTACTAATATGCAGTTAAACTTTACTTGTAATAAAATGACTAAATTTTACATAAGTGCAAGTGTCATTCAAGTAATAAAGAGGTGAATTGAATGTCGATACCACGAGGACTTGAACTATCATATGACAACCCTAGTACTGTCTATGTGAACCATACAATTTATCCTACCAAGCAAATTAAAAAAAGAGTTTTCCAAAGTTCATAATATAAGTGCTAAAATTAAAAGTTCTTTGTGTAAAAGTGTTATGAACCTATGATGGTGAATAAATTCATGTTTGTAAAAGTTAGACTTTTCTAAAATGTGTTGTGAATTAGTGCAAATTCACTCTTAGTCTTTATTGAGCATGCAAATCTTTCAAGTTAAGTTTTCACTCAACTACAATGATTCTATCTCCTTAGATTCCAAAACCCTATCCATCATAAATCAATACATGGTAAAGTTTTGTTTCAATTCTCCTATTTATTCTTTTATTCCTTTGTCGAGATAATAAATCACACTTGGTTTTAAGTTAGTGCATGGTCTATGCAAGAACTAAATGAAGAGCGAGATAACTTAAAACATTAGAGAAACTAAAGTCTACTTAAAAAAAAATATTATTTCTCACACATCACAAGTTCAGAACTAGAAAAGTAATCAACTGATAGTACACAAAATAATTTCCATTTAATAATAATAATAAGATACAAAAGAGGAGTTTGTAAAGATGTCATCCAGAAGCACTTTTACAATTGATTACAAACACTTTTTGCTTTGAATTGCTTTACCTTAAGCACTCCCACTCCTTCATTCTCCACTAACACTTTAACATTATTTTACACAAGAAAATGATGGCAAGTCCTCACAAGTTTGGCAAAAAAACTATTTGTATTTAACATTCTAAATGACTTTAGCATTGTGATGTTGCAAAGGTTGGTGTTGCGGCTCATCTATATTGAACTAGTGTTTTTGAATGTATTAGCTGCGACATTAGGTCTGAAACTACGTGCTGTTTCACCTGGTAACTGACCCAATTGACGCGCCGTAATGTTGGGGTGATTTGACATTTTGGCGCTCTACATCCTTTTATGCGGTGTTGCTTTCTCTATCTTTTTGATAAAAAAATTAGGGATTGGATGTTGCGACTCTCCATGAGGCGACGCTGGAGTGGTGAATTAAATAGCAAAAATTCAAAGATATTGGTGTCGAGGTGTTCATCCCTAGCGTTGTGGCTCTTAGAGCATTGTGCCGGCCCCTTGCTGGTGTGGTGTTTCGTTGGCTTTTTTTTTCAAAATTGTAGTTTTTTTTTTCCTGAAATTTCATGCACAATAATAATCAAAGGAGGGATTTTCATAATAAAATAGCTACAAAGATAATAACAACAATTTTCACCAACAATTTTCCCTAAGCTTAAGTCATTGCTTGTCCTCAAGTAACTTTAATGCACTTGTGATTATAACACCTTAAATTCACTAAATTGTAAACTTGGAAGTAAAAGTAAGATAGTACTTCACTAAATGATGTTAATTATAATAGTTTGGTGGTTGAATACTTCAATTAATACAATCATTAACAAATATCCCAATTCATCATTTCAAAAAATATTCTTACTAAACTTATCTCCTAAATATATGTGTAATGGTTGACTGACTTAATTAGGTTGAATAATTTTGGATTTAAGACAATTTCATATTCATTTAATCTTCCTATTCAATTACAAGCTTTATTATATATTATAATTCATGTGATCCCTCTTAGTTTAATTTGATCTCAGATTTTTCACACTATAGGAAAATCACTCATTACTGGCGGTTAACTAATGTTTTCCGGCGATTGTTTAAAAAACCGGCGACTTTTCAACGGTTTTCAAACCGCCAGAAAAAATGGCACAGGAAACCATTAACGGTAGTGTTTTTTATGTGGTTTTATTCACTGACAATTTTCTGGCGATTTGTACCGCCGGTTATCTTCCGGCGGTTTCAGCGTCGGGTCACCGCCAATGTTTTTACCGGCGGCTCCCCGGCTGTTAAACCGCCAGTAAAAATACAGTTGTTCACCGGCCGGTAGATCGCCAGTAACAATACTGGCAACTTGCATTTCATTTTGAACATTTCTCATCTCTTTAATCTCTCTAGTCACTGCTACAACCCTCTGCTTACAGTTTCTTCAGCTCCACTTAGATCATAAAATGCCGAGGTGGAATAACTGCCCTCATAAGCATAGCCTTGCGAACCCAAGTCATATAACCTCCCCCTTTGTCTTCCTCCAACAACATCTAACCATGTAAGATACTCAGAAATCTGGGTCGATCCTGAAGATGATCGCTCACTAGTGGACTGATGACTTTTCCAAGCTCATACAAAATTATCCTGTGAGAATAAATCCATAAAATATAATAAATTAGATACAATTAGTTTTATTATAATGAATTAGCTCGTCCATACAATTTGTTTTATTATAATAAATTTTTATTCCCAAACTTCAAAAAATTATACTCACATGAGCATTCTTAGCCTTTTCATCAACCCACTGGTGGTCAGCTTGATGTTAATGAGTTCTTTTAATTTTTATTTATTCATATTTTATAACTTTAGCAATAAATTTAGATAATCTCATTTGCAAATAAATAAATATAAGAAACAGTTACTAGGCTTAAGTAGGAAGTAAAGAGCTTTGACATGAATTGGATAATGCATTACACTATAAGGCAGAATACATGAACACTAATGAAATACATTAATATAACTAAAAATAAATAACAAAATAAAAATATAGCAACAAAAATAACACAAAAAAAAAACAACTACAATCTACTCAATCCCCCTCCTCTTCCTCATATACTGTTATTGTTGGTGGAGGTGGTGTAGGTGGTGCAGGCTGCAAAATGTATGGCTTGCGGGTGGTGTTGTAGAGAATAAGGGTTGATATAGACTCTAAAATAATGAGCAATTCCTAAACATTCCAACCAACACTTCATTGAACTCTAAAACATATTGATATTAATGTTATTAAATGTCCATCATGTGGCTCATTCCATATTACAATTGCCTATTTTCCTCAAAATAGGTGTGCATACCAGCAACTTGATCTTCAAGTTGATTGCCTGGTCTCCTAAGGTCCTAGGGGCTCTAAAATTGGACTGACTGGAACTGGATTGGTGAGAGCTGGGTAGGTTGGGTGACTAGGACCCTCTCCTTCATTCGGTCAGAGTGTCACAATAGTAGCATTCAGCATTGAGGTACTATGGAAGAGAATCAGTGCTGTGATGCTATGATCACACATCATTGTGGTATGATGGGAAAAGAACAAGCATTGTGGCACTAAAGTCCACGATGCTGCTGCACTGAATTATTTCCCTTTTTTTTAGAGAGCTAAGTGCTACGACACTAATTCCCCTAACTTTGCAGTGCTGCTGCACCAGAGATAAAATTTTTACACACCTTTTAACTCTAAGGAAAAGTCTTCCAAGTATCATTGCTACACCAAATGAGCACACACCAATCATAACTAGATCAAATTCCACACATACTTAAGACACAAATATAGATCGATCACCTAAATCACAAAATAGAAGTGGGTTGCCTCCCAAACAATGCTAGGTTTACAGTCTTCAGCAAGATTCTATCAAAATTCTTATTCATGATGAGTCAACTCATACCCCTCAAATGGTCTATGTTATCTTCTAATTAGGGTTTCAAACTTTGACCATTAACTTTGAAGATTTTTGTGGTCTTGATATCCCTAATTTCTAAAGCTCTATAAGGACATGTTAACAAAAGTGAATGGTCCCAACTACATAGACTTTAGTTTTCTTAGAAATAATTTCAATCTTGAATTAAATAGAAGTACTTCTTATCCAGGGAAAAATTCTTTCCTAAAAAGCTTACGATCGTAACATTTATTTATTTGTTCCTTATACATCCTAGTATTTTCAGAAGCTTCACTTCTAAACTCCTCGAACTCATTCAATTGTATTAATCTCTTCTCCTCAACATCTTTAATATTTTAGTTTAATCCTTTTACCACCCAAAATGTTCTATGCTCTAACTCCAAAGGTAGATGATAGGCTTTTTTGAAAATCAAATGATATGAAGACATTCTAATTAATATTTAAAATACAGTATTGTAAGCCCATAATGCATCATCCAATTTCAATGTCCAATGCTTCCTATTTCAGCTCATAATCTTTCTAGAATTTACTTTATCTCCCTATAACTAATTTCAGCCTGACAAGTAGTTTGAGAATTGTTGACCTTGTTTTCATCATGATTTGCCCTCAAGCACATTTTGGTGAGCTAATTGAACCCTGTCACGCCTAATTCAATTCAAATCGACGTCGATTTATGTTTGATTGCGTCGGTTCAAGTTTAATTTCATTAAATTGACTTGATAAGACCCAGTTGAGATGAATTAGACCCAATTACGTTCAATTAAGCTAAATTAATTAACTTGAGTATTGTCGAACCCAATTTGAGTCAAATTGGCGTCACCAATTGAACTTGGATCGACTCGAACTGATTTAAATTGAGTTTGATGTAGACTGAAATATGAGCCAAATCGGCCCAATTATTGTTAAGATATGTCCTATTTTCTTTCTAATGTGTTCAAATCAATTTCTAAATCAAGAAGTTTAATGAAACAGATTGAATCAAATCAGCGGTTTATTCGAGTCTCGGCTTGATGTATGCGATCTCCAGTGGCCGTAGTAGAGATAAGGAGCAGTGTACAGGCCTATTCACGTATTCTCGAATGACTGAAACAAGAAATGAAAAATGGCGGGCTTCCATTTTTGAGCTTCGACGTGTATTTCTCTCTAAGCCTCCTCCGTCCCGAGATTCCGACTTTAGAAGCTCTCCCTCTCGCTCTGGTCTCGATATTTTCCGCATACTAAGGGGTTGTTTGGTAAGCGAATTTAGGTTGGATTTGGGCGAAATCCAGCCAAACGGTCTAAAATGCAAAACCAAATCTCACATAAAATGAAAGCCATGGTAGATGAAAAATTATGCCTTTTCATGGTAAATCCCGAATTTTTAAAATCCTCTGTTTTGCCAGATTTTCGAAATCCTCTAGCTCTATGGGCGCGATAAAGAAGAAACTCCGCTCAAAATGTTCAACCTTATTAAATCCTGAGTAGAATAGCCAAACCGTCATATAGGATTTAACTGAATTTCTTGTGAATATTAACAAATATTTTTAAAGATTTAGCCATCTAGGATTTCGTAATTTCGAATGTGAAGAATTTTTGAAATTCTACTTAAATTTAAATGAAATATTAGGCTATACCAAATGGAAAATTATTAGGTCCGGACATCGGCCGTAGAGATATGTCCGACGTCCAATAAATTATTGACACGTGAAATGTACACGCATCAACAAAATTTTAAGCCAAATGTGTCAAAACATAATAAAAAAGTATAGTTAAAGTATAGTCAAATCACAGTTAACAATCATAACGCAATGAAGGAGCAGTCAAAAATTATTTTACCCTCCCTCTCTGTCTCCCGTTCGTGAATCCCAGGAGAAAGCCGAAGCCCCTTCGACGACCCGGCCTCGCCTCCTCTACGCTAGCCGAGCCCGAACCCACTTTCGCCGACTTGCCCTAGCCGCCGGCTGTCCCCTTTGCTACAGGTAACTCCCACCTCTTCTTCCACCGCTTCTTCTTCTTTCTTCTTCTTCTTCTCCTTTACTTCTTCTTCTCCTTTACTTCTTCTTCTCCTTCTTTCTCTATTTCTTCTTCCTTAGTTCCTCCTCCTTCCCCCTTTTTTTTTTCTCATAATAATCCCAAAAAATCAGAAAATAGCAATGTATAAATTCCTTATGAAGTCTAAAAAACATAGTTAGTTCTGATTTTTCTGTTTAAGAAACATAACATGAATATTCCCAATCACTTATTTTTGTTGACTGGTTGCTCTAATTCCTTCCAAAATCTTTTTTAACAGAACTTCTCACGATGAATTGTATTTATTCATGGTCAAGTAATGATATGTTCCTTGCCACCTAGTTCTGTGAAAATAGTTGATTTGTGGTGATGATAAATAGTATGTAGAACGCTCCTGCTACAGTTGTTTTGTGATAAATTGTATTTAAGCCTTTCTTAAGCTTGGATGTAGGATGTGTTATGGTTTGGTTCCTATGTTCACTTATGCCTTGATCATTCCATAAATGGGAGCTTTACGTTAAGGTAGTCATGTACCTTATATTCCACGACTGATTGGGGAAGTTTATGCATGTACCTATACGGGCTTTTGTTAAAATGGTTTTGTCAATTGAAGGTTATATGTGTAAAGTGTATGTTCAAAGTTATTTCATTATTGAATTTCAAGAAACTCTCATGTTTACACTTCAACGTAGGGGTGTAAATATTTGACACAACAAGAAAATTCGACCTGAACCCGACCCAGAAATTTCGGATTTGACCCGACCCGATTTCAAAACAGGTCGGGTTCAGGTTCACGGATTTGACCCGTTTGAAAAACGGGTTGGGTTCGAGTTGACCCGACGGGTTGCCGGGTCAACCTGGAAACCCGTGGGTCGGGTTAGGGTCGACCCGTTTGATCCCGGGTCAGTTCCGGGTTTGACCCGAACCCGATCCGTGACCCGATTTTGACACCCCTACTTCAACGGATATGTATATTTGGAATTTTAATGACATATGAATATCCAGTGTGAGTAGGCCCATGATAATACTATTACACTTCATTAGTTCCATAGAATCGTTGAAGAGCATGCTCTAAGCCATGCCATCATGAGTTCATGGCTTGAGTGGAGACACATATACTCATACTATTTACTTCAAATATCATATTTGCATATTCTATATGAAAGATTAATAGTTGTGTGGAGGTGACTTTGAGTTTTGGAGAAGAGGATAGTTATGTTTTCTCTTTTTGTTATTTCCTTCTTTCATATACATCAAGCTTGAGCTTCATCTGTGTTAGTAAGCCTTTATGTATTTTATGCATTAGTATAAATTCTACACTAGCAAGCTCTCATGTGCTTTATGTGTAGCCATCACCTATGTTAGTCCTTACTCATATCAGTATGCTTTCATGTTTTATGCATTCATAGGCTTAGTGTTTTATGCATCACATTACATAGAGGTTATGTGAACTTTGAAATGGAGGATTTTAGTGAAAGTGAAATTTCTTTGATATGATTGATGTATGTGTATTCATTGCCTTTATGCAAGAAATGATATATCATTTAAATAAATTTTGGTTTATGATGGGAGGGAGTTCATGCATAGATGAATAATTTAGTAAGAAATCGAAAGTTGCCACACACATGTATATATAGATTTTGCAGTCAAACCTTATTTATCAAGTTTAATAATCACAAACACCATATGCAATTTGTAATCCTCATACTCACCATAGTTGGATAGTGATATTCCCTCTATCATGTGTATATCAAAGATAATAAAATACCATGTTTGTGATTAGCTTGCATTTCAAGACTCATGAATAGATAGGATATTTATGATGTGTAGGGGTGCTCTAATAGCATGTATAGTTACGCAAAGAAGCTTTGATTAAGTTCATGTATGAGTTTCACTTGTTCTATGTTTTTGTTGTGATTCATCATTAGAAAATGATGTTGTATCTTATGAATGGCATCTAGTGAATTATTCATGTAATTTTTATGATTCATGATTAACTAGAAGCATTTTTGATATCATATGATGAATGGGTTTACAACTATCTAGGTAACTTCATCTATTCAATATTTTAATTGCAAGCACGTATAGAAACAATTCAAAGAGGGGTATTCGTGTTGGAAAGTGATATATGCATTAATGAGCAAATTTTATAGAAGGTTGAGATTCACCATATATATACACGCAAATTTTGCAATCAAGTTCTATTTGTTAGCTTTAGTAATTACAAGTGTCATATATGATTTCTTATTATCATTCTCTTGTACGATTAAATGATTGCATTTCTCTATTATATGCATGCTAATGATAATGAAAGCAATACATTTATGATTTGTTTTGCTATCTGAATTTGGTAGAACTCTTCATGTGTGTTATACGGTTGAGACGATTTCTTAATACATCTGATGCATTGTTGTATTAGTGAATTCAAAAGATTGAGGTGATAGAACTTCATTCTTTCATTAACATTTATATGTAAGGTAATATGTTGCTTAGCATCAAATTTGTGTCAAGTAAGATGTATAAGTTTGCTGAAAAGCCTTTCATATTTGTTTGATATTGTAATGCAGAGGATGATATTCATGTTAGTTAAGTTCTCATTACTGCTAGGATGTTTAGTTAATTAGTCTTAGGTTAGTGCACTTACAAAACATTGGCTTTGTGGGCCAAGGCTTGTCCCCTTTTGTGAGCCCTAGAGACCGCTATGATCATCTTAGGCCTGCAGTATAGGCCCACCTATTTGTGCCATGTGCATCACTATTTTCCCACATGAAGTGTGCATCGTTAGGTTTTCTTCGGGATTTTAAAATATTTAAATAACTTTAAAAATTGCTTTGTAATGATTTTGAGCCTCTAAATATGTCTTTCATAAACATGTTAAAGAAAAATATACAAAAAATGAAATAAGATACAATCTCTAGCATGTTTAGGAAGATCTATCAACTTAGCATTTGTGGGCTCCGAAAATTCTACCCGGCCTCCGCCCGCGACTGTTTTGCTTTTTCTTTGGCGTGGGAGTTTTAACGAACTAAGTTCCGGAGTAAATTTTGGGAAGGCATATGGGTTAGTAGATAAGACACTACCCAGATATTTCGCCCTCATTTTTGCGAGGACTTTATGACTTGAGTTCTGGTTTCCTATAGGCGCAAGCCCCTATAGTTAATTATCCCTCTCGATCACGAGAGATAACTTTCGATTAAGGCTAGTCGTCAATCAGATACATAGAGAATACGTGGTATCTGGCATATAGTAGCAGCAATGGGTATAGGGATTGGAGAATTTGAAGGGTTTGGATGATTTGATATTTAAAATAGAAATTTTACCATCTTACACTTAAAGCGGATGGTGGGGGAATTGATGTTTGACTCGATCAAGATCCCATGGTTCCGTTGTCCCGGGCCATCGTGGTCCCTGGTCTACTTAGTCAGAGGAGGTAGTCGACCCAACCTGATAGAAGGATCCTTGTCGGCAGCCATGGGTTGCTGCTGAAGTAAATTTTGATTTGTCCATCCCGGCAAACTGTTGCGGAGGGTGGATGGATTTTACTTTAAGCATTTGATGGTTGAATTTGAAATTTTAAATATTTTTAGATTTTGGGATTTTAAGATTTTTTTGGATTTTTGTGGAATTTGGGAAAACATTTGAAAATATTTGGAATGGACCCCTCCGGTTGAGATTTACATTCAACACGGTCATCATCGGGGTGTTTGGGGGCATTTTCATTTGTAGCTTGAATCTTGTCGACTTTGTCTAGCTGTCGACAGATGATCGGGTTTCGCAGGGTTTATGTCATTGTTAGTGAATTCTCTTAATTATGGTCCTTGAAGGCCTAATATGAATGTATTAAAACAAATATACCGATCGTCGTCACAGTATATTTGCTTGATAGTTCGAACCCTATCGACTCCTATTGATCCATATATAAGGATCGTGTTCAAACTTGAATTCACTTATTAACCCACGCAGCATCCCTAGATATCACGTGTGTACCAATAACACGCTTGCCGAGGCCCATGCGGATTATGATTGTATTTATCCCTTTTGTGTACCTATGTGTATATAAATTATGGTGCATGTGTAGGGGTACATTGAAATAATTATAGTTGTGTAGGTAATTGCGATTTGAGTGTACACAACTTTTCATTTGAGAGTATGTACACGCCTTCTGTCCGCTAATATGAGTGTTGCGGATCCAGTGGGGGCGTTGTAGGTTGTAGACACCTTTTGTCTGTTTGTATAAGTGTTGCAGATCCGGTGGCGACATGGTCTTGATGTTGACTCCCCCTTTCTCATTCATCGGGGAGGGTTTCTTTGAAGTTTGTGGCCACTGCCTTGAAATGGACTCTTTTCAAGCTCTTTAGCATAGTAGACTTGTTATTTCCCGTGTTTGTGGACACCAGAACTGTTTTCTTCTTAAGTATAGAACTAAGAAGAGACTTTGAAATACTAAGAAGTTTAGTTCGAATTTGCTCAAGCATCTCTTCCATTCATTAAGGAGGTGTTCTTTTCGTACATCGAGTTACCCTTGTACCCAAAATACTTGAAGATCTTGATCACCACTGTCGTAGGTGATATCCGTACTTGTGCCAACAGTGGTTCATTGTACTTACAATACACATACTGTTGTTACCCACAAGTATTTATTTGCAGGGGACCGCTGTATCCACTACGATCTCCTAGAAGTGTTTGTAGAAGACCCATTGTTTCTACATCATGTCTACCTTTCACCAATCTCAGGTGGTCTAATGATTGCACTTGCTTGTAGGGGAGGAACCTCCATTATTGGTCTCTAGTATTGCCATCTCAATCAACAGGCAGTGTTGCTTATGGCAGGGGATCCCAATAGCGTATAGGAGAAATTTGCAACTCTTTGTCTTCAGAGATGATTTACCATACGCGTGATGAGTTTGATATCATATCTTTCAACATTTCATTCCAAATGAGATGATCATTGCATAAGAGAGATTCCATG